AGCCCATCAGCTATTGAAAAAGGTGTTGACCCCATCGGACCAACATGGCCTGGTACGGCAAATTATATGTTGGTCCCATTGGACCAATGTGGCCTGCTGAGTGTTGTTGGTCCTGTGGGACCAACGTGGCAGTGAACGTGTTAATATTGTAAATAAAAAAAGAATACAGTAAACAAATTATTTTAAAATTCATCAGCAAAAAGGCACAATTTAGATATTATTTGAACCCAAATTATAAACCGGTACCTATATCTCAGAAAATGTATAAATAAAAAAACCTAAATACTATTTCGGTTTCCGTCAAAATTCATCAGCGGCTGAACGAGACTGATAGCGGAAACCGAAAAGTCGACTGAATTTTCCGCAAACAAGCCTTCTAGAAGACCGTACATTAAGAGTTGTAAGACGTAAAAATATGTCATAGATGCATAACAGCATAATTTACAGCACCTTAAGAAGAAGATTAACTCAAACTTGAATTTTGGAATCGATTATTAATAAAATTGAACACAGTAATATTGTTGTTGCAAAAAAATATAACAGGTGCGCTGTGCCAAAAATGTCAACACTGAACATTTCAAATGTGAATGCTAAAACATTTTACAGAGTAATTACTATGGCAATGATATATCAATAACTAATAAGACCAAACGATTATCACAAAGAAGGAAAAAACATGACAATAAAATGTTAGTAATAAAATTATTTTGTACTTATATTTTACCCACGAACCGCCACTGCATTTCCCCCACATTTCCAATACAACAAAGCCTTTTAAAAAAGTATTACAATTTGTGCTAATAATATTATATATATTAAATTTATTATTTGATCACAATTTCACAGTATATAGGCCTTTAGTTGTTTAAAAGTTTAAAATATACAAAAAGTGCGCGTACAAAGTCCTCCTCCTTATTTGAACCATAATACTTATAATAATAATAAATTTTGGAATAACTGAATTAGGCCATATGTGTATTGTTTCTATATTTTGATATGAGGTTTAATGCTCGAATAAATGAACTTTGATCAAATAAAAGGCAAATATCGAGCACAGTTTAATTAATTTAATCTTGCCCAAGTACTTTCGCTCCCTAGAGCATCTTCAGGGGCATTTCGTCAATTGTGGCCTATCCGACAAGAATAACTACACTACACAAGAACAATCTTCTGTACAGAGAAATTCTGTCTCCGGCTTTTAAAAAAAATTTATGTGTTTGTCCTTGTTTAGTGTAGTGTGATGTACCATTATATGTTTATTTTATTCTTGTCGGATCGGCCACAATTGACGAAAAGCCCCTGAAGATGCTCTAGGGAGCGAAAGTACTTGGGCAAGATTAAATTAATTAAACTGTGCTCCATATTTGCCTTTTATTTTATCAAAGTTTTTATATTTGTGTAATGTTATCCAAAATGACGGACGAGTGTCACGTTATAATATAATTTCATATGGCACATAATTCCTCTTTCGTGTCTTGTGTCACTCAGGTGTTTCTAAATTTGTGCGATTCTGTAGTGTATTTTGAAAATGGCGACATTCAATATTCAATGGCAAGTGACTAACTGTAATATCTTGATATTAGTATGTTTTTATAGAAAAATGTTCGATTAGAGCAATTTATTTCTATAGTTTCCAATATCCTGATAAAATTCATTTGATTTGTATTGATATAAAAAGAGTAAACTGCAAAAAGGGGGGATAATAGTTTTTTTTTTATTTTTCGAGTTAAGGTTGATAACAGTTACTCTGAATATAGCAGATTAATGCCAACTATCGTTCAAGGCTGAAACGGTGACAGTCACTGCTAAAAAAGCAATTAAATATATATGGTACCTAGCAAAAACGGGGATAGGCAGAACGAACCAAGAAAAAAGAGGGAATGGCATGTGTCACTAGATGCCATTTGCTGTTAGCGGTTGAAGTAATAAGAAAGGTTAGAAACACTGGACGCATGACGGATGTTATGAAAGTACTACGTGTTCACAGTCATGAAACAGGTGATGACTGTAAGCGCAAACAATTGCAATGTTTTAATAAAATTACAGAAGGGAATAAGCGTTTTATAATCAATCATTTTAATTCACAAAATTATTATCTGGGTGGTCTTATTTATTAAATTATTATGTGGGACCAGTTGCTCAAAGAAGAAACAGGAAATTAGAAGAGGTGGCTAAATTAAATTATGCGTCTTACTCATATAAAGTTAGATAGGTATACTGCCGATAACATCGTAAAAGAAACCATTGTGTGTTATTTAGCATGTATCTCCCTTCACAATATCATGAAAAAGAGGCTATACTACGTTCCACTTTTAGAAAATAACATTGCGAAGATAGGGCCATGCATTTCTTATGGACGATAGCAACGCGGCGTTGCCACGACACACACAAGCACAATTTAGGGTTGTATAATTTGTATTTTAGTTTCCACAAACATGAATTAAATTAATGTTTTTTAACGTAATTGACCAAAAGTGCCCATTCGAAACAAGAGATGAAAAGTAGGGAAAATGATTTTAATTAGATAAATAGTATTTACAAAAGATAATTTTATTTTATCTTATTTTAATTATAGTAACGACAGTTTATTTGTTTTTCGGTGAGAATACGATATGCCATGAATCATATAAATCAGTAGAAAATATTGACCGCTTGGAATGCGTATATCTAATTACTAATTGCAACTTAAAATAATACGATGTGCGTATGTCAGCTATTTTATGTCGTCTCTGACTACATAATGATAATAAGGCTTTTATTTAGTAGTTATTCTGACTTTACAGTTAAATATTAATTGAAAATGAAAATTCAAAAATTAAGCAAAGGGAATATCTTGGACATCCGTGCAAAAGAGAGTGTCTGAGAGTTTTGGCAACACTGATCTCCATAAGCGTAATGTTATTTTCTTAACGTGAAACAAAGAATACAAACTATTCAATCCAGTTTGAAAATGTTTGGGATTGCTTCAAAAGACAAACGTGAATTAACCAAAAAACCCAACAAAAAACCAAAGGAGGTAGTTGATTGTGTGATTAATTATATTAAATTTTTCAAGGTTTGAAAAAACCCTACAGCAGAAACAAAAGCAGTAAATTATACTTTACTGATGAACTGAATATTAAAAAAATGTATGAAATGTACAGAGCTCTTCAAAATCCCATTGTTTTATTTGAGTTTTATAGAGGGATATCTAATACAAAATTCAATATTAACTGCAGGTATCCACGCAGTGATACAACAGCAAGTGTGACAAATTCTTAGCAGAAATGAAGTCACTCAAACTATCTTTAGAACATCTTCCAGTTGGTACTGAAGTTTCAAGGCAAGAAATAGAAGCACATATTGGAAAGTTACATATTTCCAACAGTGTACACAAAGCAAAAGCTGAAGCTTTTTATGAAAGAAAGGGATCTGCCCGTAAGAAAGCAATGAAAACAGTTTAAATGGAAGTCATTGCTACCAAAAGAATCTAAATCTTCCTAATATTACAACAAATGATGTACACTATGAAAATCAATTAACTTTCATTGATTTTAATAATCATGTGATGTTAACTAATTAGTCACTTTTTTATTGCTATCCAGAGACAATTAGAGGAAAGGGCTGAAATGAAGTTGTCTTCATTTCTTCATAATTTTATATTTTTGTGTGACGAAAACGTACGCCACTTAGCCATATTTTGTGATTCATATGGCGGACAAAATAAAAACTTTATAATGTTCCGTTTCCTACATACCGTTTTTCACATTGCTAAGAGGCTATCAAGCATTACTGTCACTTTTCCAATATGCGAGCATTTGTATTTAGAGTGTGATCGAGACATGGCATTGGTATGTCAAAAGACAAAAGCTGAAGATCCTCACGATTGGATTATTGAAATTCGTACGTGCAGGAAAGCCTTCTCCATTTCAGGTGATTGAAGTAGATCAAGCAATGATTAGGGATTGGTCAACACTTCTGGATTGTTATTGCAAAAACAAATGTCCATTTGCATCAAGACCTATTAGAGAGTTTAAAATTTCTTAGACTCATACCCGAACAGTGGAACACGAATCAAGTTACAATGGGCATTGGGAATCTTCTGTAATTCGTGAACCAGTCAAAGACCTAACTGAAGTATGCCCAAAAGGCTAATTTGAGTTGCCACAAAAATTAGACAACGGTAAGTATATCATTATTATTGTTGTTATTAAAAAATGTTTCTTTTAGCACTTCTACCAATATCGGATGCTAATTTTAAAGATCTTTAGCAATTAAAGACAATTTGTGGACCAAAAGCAAACAAATATTTTTCTAAGTCACTAATCAAAAAAAGAAAAGAAGCATAGTTTAACTAGTTTGTTATATAGTTCTAAGCGAGTATCTTATTATTTACGAATAAATACCGCAATAACACTGGTTTTTAATCTTTACACTACTTCAAAAAGGCTGGCAAAGAAATAAGTAATATCAAAAATAAATAAAACTTATAACATTATCTCTTAAAAACATTCTAACAATCAAAACAATATATATGAGAAGTTGTCAAAAGTAACAGTTTTTAAAATGTGGTGCTCTAAGCCTATAAAACCAGTTTTCTCACAATTGTACTTGATTAACATTCCCCTTTTTGCAGTGTACTTTTCATATGTCAAAAATGTGACATTTTTCTTAAACAATGGATGCGTTGCTCAAGACGACCTCAACGGCTGGACAGCTGACTAAGCGGCAGCGTTCAGACGCCTCCAGCGCAAGCCGCTGTTAAATTTTACCAAAGTACTTTATTTCAGCTGGATGAACTCAGCGGTTGCTTGGGCATGCGTGGTACGCAATAATGAGTTTTATAGGTAATGGATCTTGACAAGAGCTATGACCTTGTAAATAACACGTAAACTTGAGTACTGTCGTGGCATGACTCATAGTCTTGCCAAAATCCATTACCTCTATTTTTTTTAAGTTTTTAATAAAAATTTCGATTGTCTAAAAAATGGATTTACAATGGAATATTAAAAGTATAGTTTGGTACTGAACGGAAATATTTATTCATAGAAGTACATATTTATGTAAATATTGAGGTGAGATTCGTCGAAGTGTCAAACATAAAATGAAAAGTCGAGATACATGTCAAAAGTTTGTGTTTGCTAGATCTAAGCCGCTTTGTGTTTAAAACCAGCCACTGAGGTCGTTTGAAGGTACCCAATATGTGGCGTATAAGCTTATAATTTGATGTCACTTGTCATATATTGTCACTTACTGAAAATTCCGACGAGGCCACACTTTTAACATATGCCAATAAAAAAAACATATGAATTCTTCAGTATCTGCAAAATTGGAAAACGAATTGACCTGTTCAAGTGTTTTTCATAAAAACTGAAAACTGTCAAATTATTAGAACTAATATATACCATAACAAGTCAATTATTATCGATAGTCCTTTATGCTCTCCTATATTAACTATCATCTTAAAAGAAGAGCTTAAAGGAGCTGGATTGGCAGTCACCCATGAGCGTAGGTTATATTGAAATGGCACTAACAAAAAGATATAATTGTGAAATAATATTAACGCTGTATACAAGTATTTACGTTGCGTGTCATCATTAGGAAACGCTTACAACGTCACGAAAATACCATAAAAATAATCTACACAAGTGGCTTAGTTCAGCTACTCATGAATCTGAGTAGTACGGTTCAAAAAATAATAGGACCGAGGCCTTTAGACGCACCCCGTAGAATACAAATCAGGAAAACGATTTCGTAATTGGTTTAGATCAACAATATTTACATTAAAGCATTGATTTACATATCGCTCCACACTATTGCTTTTCTAGAACGATCTACACTAGTAAGAAAGTTTCCGAAGGGGTTCCAAGAAGTAGCGGTAACTGCGGCTCCGTGTTCCTTGAGTATCGTCTCTACTTTCGCGCTATTTACGCCCCAAATGTATACTGAACCATCCGCCGAGCCAACGGCGACGTACTGTCCGTCCGGACTGAAAGTTGCTCTTGAATAATCACATCCCACCTTAAAACCGTCGCAGCTGAACAGCGTAACGACTTGGTTCATTCGTAGATCTAGAAGTTTAAGGGTATCATCCCTGACGCAGCAAACGAGATACTTGGCATCTCTTGTTAAATCTAACGAAGTAACTTTACCATTTAAAACTACGTTATTGGCACTAGATTCCGATCTGCTATCCCAAAACCTTATACTCTTATCAAAATGGCCACTAATAATTATTGAACCGGCACTGTCTACCGTAACAAGATCATTACAACTAGATCCGGCAAACTTCGTTTCTATACAAGCGCGACTGCGCAAGTCCCAAATTTTCAAAGTGCGATCATGGCTGCCGGTGACTACCTTGGAAGCTTCTCCTAAGAATTTGGCAGCCATCACTTTACCAGAATGACCGGTTAAAGTATGCCTTAACCTCTGATCTGCGATTGTCCATACTCTAGTAGCGTAATCATTGGAAGCACCTAAGATTAAAGAGCCCGAAGAATCGAAATCTATGGCCATGACACCGGCATTGCTACCTACTAAAGTCCCTTTATGATCGTGGCAACCTTTTGAAATTTCCCAAAGTTTCAACTTCCGATCAGCACCTCCCGTAGCTAAAAGTTTCTCTAGAGGACTCCATTTGACGGCACTAACTTCGCCTTCGTGAGCATCATACTTCACATTTAAACTAGTTGGCAGATTCGAAGTACATAGCGGACCATAACCTTCAGTGAGTTCTTCGGGCGAACCTCTAGTATCTTTGCACGCTTCTTCAATCTCCTTCTGCATTTTCGCGTAGCGCTTCTTGAGGAAATTGTCGTTTTCTTCGTTCATGCGATCGGCATCCTTCGCTTTGTACTTTATAAGTCGTTCCACGAGTTGTCTATTTTCATCTTGGGCCTTTCTCAACTTGTCCTCCAACGACGTAAATAACATCTGAAGCGCTTGATGTTCGTCCCTAAGAGTATCCCAAAGATATTGCAGTTCATTTTTTGATTTGTCTAACATGGAAATTTCAGCTTGGAGAGACACCATCTTTGCAGCGTTTTCCGCCAATATCACATTTTTGGAAGCAATTATTTTGTCTTTTTCTTGAACTAGAGCGTTCAGATCGATTATCTGTTGCGCATTCTCCCCCTTTCTTCGGTGCAATTCTGTAAGTTCCTCGGCTTGAACCAGTAGTTTCTGCTCGAGTTGCTGTATCCTCTCTTGGTGTCTAATATCACCAAGACTAGAACTATTGGATCCGAGACTGCCTCTACCCTCATACTTAAGTTTTTCTACTTGTATTGAAAGTTGAATATTTTCTGTATATAACGTGTTGTAATTTTCGAATATTTTGGTATGCTCTTCGACTAGATCCTGAAAAAGGTCAGTTTCTCTTTTGTTTCGCTCCTGTAATTGATTGAGAATGGAATTTCTCCAACTATTGGTCTCCGCATATACTGTCATGTCTAAATAGTTATTTCAATATATACTTCACAATCCCTCATTGACTTGTAGCGTGGATATTTGGATCTACAACAAATGAAAACGTGTTAGAATCTTCTTGAGGGAGGCACTATCGTTTTAGGGTACAGTAACACAAACACCAAAATCACTTCACTGAAATCACTCATTTCTAATCAATTCCACCGACGTATCTTCAATTGTATAGTGACTTATTGAGACTTCTATTACTGATTTATTATACTGCTTAGTTGCTGCTTTATATTATTAATATTTTGATCGCAGCGTACATTTTTAAAAATTAGAAATTTGTAGCATAGGCCAATGATGCAGAGATGCTAAAGGACAGATAGAAGAACGTGTTAGAAACTATTAAACCACATTAAGACCAAAAATCGAGCAGACTATCCACGATATGACTGTATATCCAAAAGTGCCAGAAGCCAGAAGTCTAGAACATATTTTCAAGTAACGTGAACGAAATGGAATGATACAAGAACTATCAAACGCCCAATAAAGTTGCCATTAGAAGTAACTGTGCAAAAACGACACAATGACTAATTTCCCAACACGTTAAGTTGAGTTTTGACATCTTTATATTAACTACCAGATTTAATAAGAATTAACCCAAATTTTAAATAAAAACACTATTGGACGTTTCGATCTCGGAAATCGAAATTTTCTACGAGGTGAAAATCCAAATGTCAGATATAAAGTATGAAAGTATGTTTAATTAAAATTTGGGTATTCCCCCTAAAACAGTTGATAACTAAAAATTTGAAACAAAAATAAAGAAAAAAGAAGTACCAAAACCATTAAATGAATGTGAAATAAGACAATGGATGAGCTATGAAATACAACAATAAAATCACAAAGAATAAGAAGGTATTGGAAATAAAATATGAAATCCCTTAAGAGGGATAACACCATAGGGCAATATCAAGTGTCAGACCGAAAAAACAGGTGGAAGAAACACCTCAAAAAAGCCTTAAGAAAGTTGGATATAATAATCATCGGAAACAAAGTAAGGTATGGTAAAGAAACACAAAAACACATCAGAAATTGCAAAAGAAAACTCTAATCGCAACATAATTTTTTTTTCACAAAAATACAGCTATTATATTTAGGGAAAAGAAGAAATGAATGCCCAAATTTTAGATATAAATGAATGATCTGCAGAAATAGTTGGAAAAAAAGATTAGAACTGATAGAAAAACATAGACATTTGGGAAGTTCTCTGGAATTTTATTGAGTATCTTGTTGGGTATAAACCACCAAATATAAAATGAACGTTTGATCTATTTGACGTTTCGGTTTCCAGATATGAAGCCGCCTTCAATATCCTATTTAATTATTTTAACATATTTTGAAAAAAAGAGTCCTGGTGACAGAAACGTCAAATAAAAATTGTTGTTTTTTTTTTGTAATTTTCGGTTTATTCTCAGCAAGAAATTTAAAAAAACGCCTTTTCAATCAACATTAAGTTTCCTAGAGGTATCTCTATGTACCTACCAGCAACCTAGTCAATACATTCAGTAATACAATAGTACAAATCCAAAGGGTATTCCTAAAGAAATAGTTGATATTGAAGAATTGGGAAAATGGACAAAAGATCGTGATACATTGAACAACTAGTGTAGATGAAATGGTGTTGGAAATGCCACACAAGGCAAGGAAATTGATTGAAGAGTTCTGCAACTGACAGGTTGAAGTGAGAAAGACAATCAATAAAATAACATGAAAATTCGATAACAACTTCTTACACCAAATCCAATGAAAGGGAGAGGAGAACTACATTCATGAATAAATTTAAAATACATATCTAGTTATGGATGAAGAAAGTTTGATAGGAATATTAAAGTCTTATCAACGGTCCCTACATAAAGCAAAATAAAAAGAGAAATGAACCAATATTTAGCTCTTTAGTTCCTACAAATAGGAGACATGAATAATATGAATTAATATTAAATTGTAAACAGATTATTTAATGTCAAAAGGATCACTTGATATGCTTCAAAATCATCATCAATCATCAAATCATCATCAAAATCATACAATTGTAAAACCTAAAAAATACAATAAAACATTTATATAGCCACTTGAAAGTAGAGTTAAGAAGACAAAACAATGATCAAGGTACTATACACTACATCCTAAAGATAAAAAAACAGTAATACTGTGAACTTATATCCAAAAAAGGAGTAAAATAGATCTTAACAACTAAGAAAATTCACTATTTGACAACAATTAAGAGTTTTAAATTTTTTCACAAATATTATTAAAAAACACTATTTATTAGTATATATAGGAAGTCGTCATGAAAATTCAATTTAAAGACAAAAAAAGCAATCTCAAATTGTTTTCACTACACACCACTGTGTTCTTATTAGCAAACAAATAACTAATATGATATAACATACAGGGAAAACCAACACGAGGAAGTAGGCTGAAGAATCTGAATGACATATCTTAAGGCAATCATATTATCATTGACATATCATATTATCTTACGGCAAATCTTAAGACAAAAGTTTGGAATTCTTTCATCCTTCTAGAGAGAATTATATTGACCATAAAAGCCTACAACAAAATCAGAATAGCACAATGTGCAGTGAAATGATTTATGCGAAGAAATATGTAGAAGAACAAAAGTACTGGATGTAATACAATGCACTGCTTCATTGGGTAGGACATGTTGCTAGACTAGATGATACCAGGTGGACTAAATGTATTGTACAGTGGAACCTAGGTTACATAAGAGAGATGTGAGTTGACCTCTAAAAAGATGACAGAAAGGCAGAAAGACAATGGCACCAGGTAGCAAGACGAAAATTAAAATGAAAATGTCTAAGGGAGGCTTACATCCAGGAATAGACTGACATTCAAGGGCTGTTAAAGGAAGAAAGAAAACTACGACATAAAGTTAAATATAGATTAAAAACGAGAAAAGACATCCTTCTTCTAGATCTGATATTTCTTTTCTGAGGACTATTCTTTATAATCGAAACTTGTTAACAAATTTATATTAATGAGAAAATCCTCACAAGTAACGATTACTGTGTATTGTTTGCTGAATACTAGTAGAATTTTTGTTTAGTATGCAGAGATGAGTATGCCTACATTCAACATTGGATATGACACATTAAGAAAAGCTGTCACAATTCTAGTAGAGTGCAAATTTAAAAGGGTTAACAAAATAGAAGTCTCATATTATCCTCGATATTTATTTGGGAGAATTCAAAAAGAGGAGGGAAAGAGAATTTATAAAATAAAAACGTTATTACATGAAACCTACAAACCCACAGGGTCAAAATATGTGAGAAAATTCGCATAAGTCATGTTTAGTTTTGACATTGGGTGCCCTCAAAGACATAGTTTTGCCATGTATTGCTGCATATTTGGTTTCTCATACAAACCACATATTTCTCCTCTATAGCATTGATACTAGCCACTTATCCTTTTAAAAAATTAGAAACTTGGAAGGGGTAAAAGGCTGAACTTAGACAAAATAGTAGAAATATTGAGCCATGATAACAACTAATATGTCTAACAACTAATACGGAATCTTCGTAAACAGGAAGTTGACTAAAAGCAGTATAGATGATAACTATCGAATGTAATAGCAAATTAAGGGTCCTATTCAGCAATCCCTAAAATAAAAAACAAAAATGTGTACCTCTATAAGCAGTTAACAAAACAATAAAGTACATTTTTCTAAGTTAAAGCTCTTTGTAAGTACAAAATAAAAATTGTCACCTGTATAATAATATAATAATGTAGAAGAATTTTAACTGTGTGTGTTCGTAAGTGGAAGTAATTAGGAATGGATGAATAGTACTCTTAATTTGTTACTGACACTTAAACGATACCAAATAGAGTTATTAGTACTTAAATGTAGAAAATATTAGTACACCAACATTAAAAAAGAATTATAACATAAACATGGTATTAGATATAATAACTATATAATATAGAATGTTCCGAAATATTTCTGTGGTTAGTACAATTAAACCTAGAGCTAAGATTAATACTATTACAAGAATTAATAAACCCAATCGTCTTCCAAGTTGATCTGCGTCGATTATCATTAAGCTGAGCTTTTGATATCCTCTCTGATGTCTCCTTCAGGGCTTCCGAGGTCTCAGTCTCCCAAGCCCCCAAACACTACTACACTGATCACTTACCAATGCGTTACTGCTAGTACTCAGTAATGAATTGGTTAGTAATTAGTGTAGTAGTGTTTATTTATAATCATTCCACATTGCTAAAAATTTTTCTCCCTTTGGAATTCTATGTGGACCTTATGGTGAAGAAATACATTTTAACTTTGATTTTTTTGTGTTTGCAACCCACAACAAGAAACATAAAGTTGAACTACCACTAGATAGACTATAATGAAAAAAAATGTGGAAATAACTTGTGATATAGATCATTCACAGACCTTGTAGGAAAGACTAAAATTGTAGGAAAAAAAAATAAAACATTAGAAGCACACACTTAAATTTGTAAAAAGAACAAGAAAATTTACAGACCAAATTATTCATGCCTAACTTGTTCACTAGAAAATCATCACCCTGAGAGTCGAGATTCACGAGTATCTGAGGGATAGGAAAATCAAAAGAAATGTCACACTAATATCAACATATTCTTCATATTTTCTTAGACAAACTATAAGGGCAAGATCCCAACAAAGATTGCTTCAAGCACTTCTTTCATTTCTTTATTCCTAATACAACCACATATACAACATTCTGGCCTAGAACTTGGCTCCTATGTCCTAAGCAAGTGGAAAACAATATTGCAAGTAGTGACTCATTTTGCTGCATGTAACTTTAACGACAATTGCATTAAAATTCAGCAAATTATGAAATTTTGGTGGTGAATATTATTGATCAAAGCCTAGACACTTTGTATTGAAGTCGATATTTGGACAGATACTGCAATACAGGCAAGCTCCACTATAAAATGGACAAATGTGAGCACAAAAGGGCAACTTTATGGATCTGGGATAACATAGTAATGGAAAAGAATTAAGCAGCTGTTTTTCATTTTCCCCAGTTCGTAACACATCTTAGAACTTCAAAATGGATATTTCTGAAAACACAATTTTTTAAAATAAATTTAGCTACGTCCAATTCCATCTATATATTCATGGATATATATCCAAACATATAACTTTCTGAGGAGAATGAGCATTACAGTATTTATTAACAAATAATTCCCCTTTGTTTGTCTGAATCTAAACTCTATTTTGTGTCAATAATATTTGGTTTCACAGAGCGTGTCAATAAAATTTTCCTCACAAAATGGCCTTAGCATCACCATTCTTACATTATTATTAAATACATAATTTTATATTCACTTCTTGGCCTTATTTCTAAGTCAATTTTTCAAAAATATAGATATTTGCGCCATCTGTGATTTAAATGACAAACTAATCTTCAAGAAATCCTTGAAATATATCTTATTATACTGACATTGACAAATGCATAGTAAGAAATCTTTTTTACTAGAAATATCTCAAAAAAATGATATCCAAGATATAAACAAGGAATATTCACTCAGTGGATCTCCCCTCTATTTATAGTCACGTGACACGCTGTCAGATTTGTGAGGACATTTTAGTATTGAGTCTTATGGGATTATTTTGTTAAACTTAAATATTTTATATTGTAGTGTTAATATCCGGATACAATTTTTAGAATTAATTAGTTATCTATTTTATAGTGACATTTATAGTTCAACAAAAATATTTCATATTTCAAATATTCATAGTAACCTTGCACAAAAGTGTCCTGATAAAATTTCAAGCAACTGCCACCATGAGCAGGTCAGTCGATTTAGCTTTGACACTTTGTTAACCCTCGGAGCGAATAGAGGTACATGGGGTATTCCTTGATATAAAGGTAAGCCTGTGCCTGAGATGTAGAATACACTTAAAAATATATGTTCAGGATATTCTTCCAAGCTACATTCTCATAAATTAAAGCCAAACAAATTGGCAACTACAGCTACAACAATACAGCACTAAAAATCAACTATTTCCTTATTACCAAGTAAAAGATTAAGAAGCAGAGTGAAGATGCAGCCCAGGAAGTAAAGAAACAAAAAATATCAAAAAACAGAGAAAAAGTGTAGAAAATAAGAAAATTCACTAGGAATTGCAAAAAAATATTCAAAATGGTAACTACATCAAGTACAATTTATTTATGTTTGCAAACTACTGTGGATAAATGTAATCAAAAATACAAACCTAAGATATGTTTATGTGGTTTGTAATAATACAAATGTAATAATGTGGGCACATTGTACTGTACAGATAATGATAATCCAACACATATGATAGGAGTCTGTCTAACACAATAGATAAGGGTATATTAACAGTACAAGCCTATCTTCTGTAAATATCCCTCAAATTTGGACTATGATCAGAAAATGAGAGAAAAAAGAAAATCAAAATGTAAAGTTGACCAGACCCACCCATGTACTGGTGGTATGTAACTACACATATTTCACTTATGATTTTAATCAGTGCCTCTTTTCATTCCAATAAAATAATTGATGGTGGTAAAAGCAATTTGTTTTTACTTAAATAAAGTAAACATGTTTACCTGTACAAAGCTGCATAATACAGTATAAAGATGTACTTCGTGCAAATCATACAAGTCGCTAAATATATCCATGCAACATACAGATACATGCGGAACTTTAAAGAAATATATTTACGAATGTGGACTTCAGTGGAAGGGCTGGTGCAGTATTCATTTATATTGGTGGTTCCGGTCGCTTCTTTGTTAAATCTAAAAAATAACTGTTTTAATTTTCGGATAGCTCATTCAAACTAACATTATTTATATTCCACATGTCATTATAGTAAATAGATTAGCAAACATTTTAGAAAAATTAAACAAATGATTAAAAAGCAAATGGACACAATGTCACGATGTAGCAATCGTAAAGTTTAAAATCTTGTTTAATAAAGATTCGAGATAAGTCAACTTACAAATATCTATACAGTTAATAACTACAAATATTTATTTTTCTCCAAATTCTTCCAAATTTTCTAATAATTAATGTGACAGTGACAATAAATTCACATTACAGCACATTCTCACTTAGCAGTGCCAGTCGCACTTTAAAGAGTAAAACGACAAGTGGCGCATCGCCTAGTGCCAGGGTGTGCAACTATATATATATACATTGATAAATTCAAAAGGCAGGTAAAATTACCTAGGATTGTAAACTTATTTTAAAAAAAGAGAAAATCAATATAATCCTAAAATAACAAAAAACTCTTATTCTATACTAGAACATGTATATATTTTTCGTATACTGTTTTGGTTATATTTTTATTTACCACATTTTCCATTTATTTACATTACAAGTTATATGTATTGAATGCCAAGGTAGTTAAAAAATTAAAGAATAAAATATAGAATAAAATCTTTATATTTATAAAAATGTTACAAGAAATATTATATATGTTAGAATAATTATTATTAATACAAATTCAATCAACGATACAAGTAAAGTGCAGAATAAATACAAGAACTTGTCAGTATTATTATGTCAAGTTTTATGTGAATACAAGTCTGGTCTTCGTGTTCTTACCTGGTCGTGGTAAAGGCTGTTCTCTTAAAGTCCATGTATCCAACTTTGATTACATCCTTCTCTTTAAAATGAAAAGCACGTAATGGAAATTGTTATAAATAGTTTATGTCGTCTCTAATTAGGGCTCTTAACAATATTCACCCATTTATCAAACATATTCATATAATTTATAATTTCACGAACTGTCTAGTGAATTTAGTAATTATTTTTTTGCGAAGTTAGTTACTTTTTGACAACCTAAAAGTGGCGGAAAATTACTATCAATCAAGCACACGTCTTCTTCTTCTTCACATGCCATCTCCTCTAAGAAGGTTGGCAACCATCATGGCAATTCGCACCTTCGACGCCGCTGCTCTAAAGGGGTCAGCAGAAGTGCAATTAAACAGAGCTCTCAAATTATTCTTCCAGGAGATGCGTCTTCTTCCGCAACTCCTTCTACCCTGTATTCTTCCTTGCATTATTAATTGCGACAACTTATAACGCTCGCCCCTCATAATATGTCCCAGATATTGCAGTTTTCTGACTTTAACTGTAGGTATTTAAGACCTCTTGATCTTTCCCCATTCTTCTCTGCACCTCGACACTATTAGAAAGCACACGTACTCATAGCCAATATTAATAGTAAACAAACTAAATATTAAATAAAATAGAACTAAGTGAATTACCGACAATTAATATTTGTTTATCTGCACCATATAAAAAATATTTATGTTAAATGATAACAACTAAAATATATTTTTTAATTATATACTACCCAAAATTTGATGGATTTAGTATACACTTCCACCATTGATTATAAACCACTACCGTGGTAGTGGTTTATTTATAATCAATGCTTTCACTATTGGCGAGGAACCGCAAAGTGGGCGACGCCTGGTGGTAGATTTCAAAAGCAGCCACTTCGGGAAAACATTGAAATTGTCATTATTTTGTATACATATTAGTGACCGGTTTATATTGTAATTAACAATAACTTCGACTTCAAAAAACTATTGCAGTGTTCCTCAATGTTCATCTTATTATAATTCACAAAAAAAATCATAAGTTTCCACTGGACGAGAATATGAGAAAAGTTTGGCAATGCATTTTGTGAATTGGCAAACAAATAACCAAGTACGTGACTGTGTGCAGTTTACATTTTACTGAGAACAATTACTTTCCAAGTGTTGATTAAAATATTATTTATATTTTAATACATTTATACTTAATTTACTTTATAGGGTTGAGTTTACCGAAAGTACAAGCTGAGTATAGCCACAAATGTCAAAAATATTTCGGCTTGGCAGTGTTGGCATGTTTTCATAATGCATATATTGTATGGTTCAAATATAAAGAGATAAAGCTTTTAAAAGTACATTTTGATTATACTATGTTATGAATTCTGCAATTTTCAATTTCTATGAAGCAATAACGAGTAGATATTCGTCTCTTTCGAGATTAATTGCAAACATCTGTTGTAATCTGGCAACTGCTGATTTTACGATTGCCAACTCTATCCCCTAATCTACCAAAGGGTAATTGCTAAAAAAATGTCTAATAATTAACTGCAACTCTCCAAAGAAACAAATATTTACCCATTGTTGTTATATATAAATCAAAAATTGCAGAATGCATAACATAATATAAACAAAATGTACTTTTCTAAAGCTTTATCTTTTTATATTTGAAGCATACAGCATCTACATTGTAAAAACATGCCAACACTGCTATACAGAAATTTTTTGCTCCATGTTTGACATTTGCGGCTATAATCAGCTTGTACTTTTGGTAAACTCCTTAGAACTATTTTATGTTCTAAGGTAAACTCAACCCTTTATAGTAACACCCATGCATCGAGCAAAAAGATAAAAGAGGGAATCTAATCGTTATGAAAAGGAGACCAAAAAAGTGGCCTCTGATGGCGGACATATCCGGAAATGCAAAGGCGCTAAATTTAAATTTTCCAACACTTATTAACAATAGCTATAAAATATTTTTCAGACGAGAAAGTTTTAATTAAATATTAACTATAATAGTCTAAAAAGTGACACAATTGGTAAAAGATTTCAATATAAATAATATTTCATGTGACAGTTGGGACAAACAATAACATAACCTAACTAAATTTGACTTCTTAAACAAGGAAAGAGACTGTCTATCCTTGTCTAAAGTGGCCTCTCAAGATGGCACTTCCTGTCTATCAATATGTTTACCCCCACTACCTTTACATTCCCTCTTTTGTCTTATTGCTCGATGCACCCATGATACTATGACTATAAGATAAGATATTGCGCATGTTTTGTGACGTCATTGGAGACTTGCACGTTCGAAATGTCAGTTTTTGTATATATCAATAAATAATCTTTAATAAATAGTTTGGAGATATCCTTATGTGTACGATTATTGTAATTATTAAACCTCTTAACTTATTTTCGTCTAGTAATTTCATCACAGAATGCATACAAATCTCATTTAACTTTAACAAGAATTCATATTCTAGTCTCCAATGAAGGCATGCGCGAACCCGACCGATTTTGAGCTACGGGAAGATCCTATCTTGTTATTCATAGTATCAAGGTAACACCTAAAACTAAATTAAGAAGACTAAAGAAAAATGCTGTTCTATCAGCTAAATTGCCCCAACGGTCTCATGAAGTTATTAGTAGAAAACGTAAAGCATAATTTAAAAAAATAACGTGGCCAGCTCCAAAAACTGCCTCACCCTCAACTAAAGATCTCTGCCGAACTTGCAACCATATAAATAATTAAGATAATGTAAATTTTACTTCCCGTGTTTCAGACATACTGTAGAAAAACAAACATTTAATTTTATTTTTATTCAGGTTTGGGAGTCAATTACCTTATGTATAAACTCGAATCACAAACAAATAAACTTTGAAGAACGTACTCCAACTTTTACTTTGGCAAAACAGGCGTGTAAATTTATATTAAAACGTTTTATACCTTAGAGATCAAATGACAAAATAATTTGTTTTCCCGAAGTTATCGCCCATCTTTAAAATCTTCAGCGTCCCCTGTCGGAATTGGCTATCGCGAATTTAGAATAATTCTTCTTTTTTCAAAGGAAGAAGTCTGCACTAGTAGTATACTTGAGCTATTAATACTGAGAAGTAGGAATTGTTGTATTTTAGGTTTCCGACAATGAATCAGTTAAAATATGCCCGAGCTAAGCGAATGGAGAATGGGAACTTTTTTGTTCAGTTCGTCATGTTTCCATTGTTATTCCATATATTGCGATCGATTTCATAATTAAAAAACGTCGAAAATTGTATCTTTTTGCATTGTTTATGATGATATAAACGCATTCTAAGATGATTTCATACCTCTATCACCGAACTCCATGTGCAGGAACGAGACTAGCAGTGCTACCAAACGAAAGGGTGCACAAATAGAAACGTGCGCTGTTCTTGGCTCTCCTAGGTTTAATATATCTGTGAATAAATTAAGGCGATTTTAAACGACATAACAGGAAGATTTTGTCAGAGTCATTGACATATCTGACGTCACATGCGACGACTTTTAATAAAAAAGTGAAAAGCTCTTTTTTAGCTATTTTTTTATAGAAAGATTTCATATGTACAATTGTAATTTTCTGAAGATTTTTTAGATAATTTTAAAACTAAATAATATCTCTTTTGTAATTACCTTAAAAATTGCTATTGAATCGAAAAACGGGCTGCGAGTTTGTTTAGTACAGTCCGGTGGTTCGTTTCGTTCAGTCTAACTAAATATTTCGTATTTTGTGCTATGTACTTTACAACAACGAACGTAACCTATCTTTTTTGCGGTGGTTTACAAGAATTAGGACTCTATTCCTATTGAAAGAACTTTTTATTTTATAATCCACTTTCAAAGTTTAGGTGTGATAATATTAAATGTGTTTTAATATATATTTTTCTTTCAAATCTTAAGCGGCGATTTTACTTCTATTGCTTTTTACAAGCCTAGTTTCAAATTTTTAAATAATTGCAATACAAAAAATGCCTTGTTTGATATGTAAAAAATACGATTTGCCACTAGATAAAATTAACGAAGCAAATTGTAGCAATTCTAGTACTGCAAAGGATGATCTAATAGAACTATTTGGATATAAGGTAAATTTTAATATATTTACAAAATTGTATTGTTAAATATTGAGGGCCTACAGGAAACATGTAATTACAGTGGTTGTTTATTTTATTCAAGAATTGATTTTCTCGAGGTGTCAAATGATAGTATGTCTCTCTTTTTGATAGTTTAAGTGTTTTTTTTAATATATAGGATCTCTTATATTAATGAACAAGCTGTAAGCAACAAACCGCAGGACAATCACCATGTTTCAAATATTAAATATCATCTATTTGTTATAATCTACAGCGGGTATGTGAAACTATAAATATTTGACAGCAGTTAAGATAAGCAAACAATTGACTAATTAAGAGTAATCAAAGCATACATAGTGTAAAAAATCAGCAGTTATACAAACCAAAACATTTTTCTTATGGCAAAATATTTCACAAAATTTGA